TTATTTATTTATGTGTGTGTGTGTGTCCAGCTCAGCCCACCAGGGGGCGGGGCTGGCTGGCATGTGGTGCCGGGGGATTGAACCTTGGTCGCTGTGCTTTGCTAAACTTGTCCTAAGTAGGTGCTTTAGACCACTGAGCCATCTCACCAGCCCTGTATTATCTTTTAATTATCATAAATGACTAAGCCAGGTGTGGGGGGTATGTACCTGTAATTTTGGCACCTTGGAGGTTGACTCAGGAGGATTTTGAGTTTGAGGCCAGCTTGGCAGAGACCCAGTCTCAAAAAAATGCTACATGAAAATTAATTTTGTTTTTGTTTTTGTATCTAGTACAGGGTCTACAGGGTCTTACTGCACAGAGTGGACTTGTAATGATTCTCCTGTTTTCAGCCTCCCAAGTGATGGGATTATAGGTGCACAGCTCCACTCAGCACACCCCAGGGTGGGGCCAGCACAGCATGCCAGGGATGGAAGCTGGGTACCTGCACAGGCACTTTAATTTGATTTGAATAGTTTTCAGGGTAATTTATTATGGCTTTGATAGGTTATTTGACTTTTCCATAGTCCTTCAAATACTAACATTTGAAACGTTTGGTTTCCCAACAGCTTGCTATGGCATTGTTCAAGTACCCACTGGACCATGGTTTTGCAGGAAGTGCGAATCTCAAGAGAGAGCAGCCAGAGTGGTAAGAACTGTTTATCGAAAACATTAGAGTTGGAGTAACTTAGGATGCCAGACTTGGGTTGCAGTTTGAGGGGTTGTCAGTTTCTTGTCCAAATACTGTAATTTTAAAGAGAGAATTTGGGCCTAATACTGTGTTGGGATTTTAAGCAGATTTTGTAAAATTTGGGAAACAGATTGGACCACGTAAGTATATTTGTTAGAGAGCATTTTAAAACATAAAAATAGGAAGTCATACTCAGGTTTTATAACTATGGTTGTAGAGTTAAGAAAGTCTCATTTAAGATTTTTGTTACAGGCCAGGAAGGTAGCTCAGCAGAATAAGCTCTTGCCTGGTAAGCACAAGGGCCTGAGTTCAATCCCCAGTTCCACCAAAAAAA